TGTTGGTTACCCCTCAACATCACTTCCCCTGCAGTGCTCTCACAAATGTGGCCCTTGATAATTTTTTCAAAGACCTTCCCCAGGATAGAAGTGAGGCTGACTGGCCTGTAGTTGCCAGGTTCTTCCTTCCTCCCCTTCTTGAAAATAGGGACCACATTGGCCCTTTTCCAGTCCTCAGGGACTTGGCCCGAGCACCAGGAGTCCTCAAACAGCCATGCCAATGGCTCCACAATGACACCAGCCAATTCCCTCAGCACCCGCGGATGAAAGTCATCCGTGCCCGCTGACTTGGACACATCTAAGCCCTCCAAGTAGTCCTTAACTAGGTCTGAACTAACAGTCGGGGGACTCGCATCCTTCCTGGGCCTCTCTACTCTATTACCCAAGAGCACGCCATTGTCAGTGGACAGAAACACGGAGACAAAGAACTTGTTCTGCCTTCTCTCGCGCGTCCATCACCAACTGCCTTGCCCTGCCTTGTAGGGATCCAATGTTACCCCAAGACTTCTTCTTGCTAGCTATATACTTGAAAAAGGACTTTTTGTTATCCTTAATCCCAGAAGCTAATCTAAGCTCCAGTGCTGCTTTAGCCTTCCTCACCAAATCCCTACAAGCTCGGGTCAGGGAAGCGTACTCCTCCTTTGAGGAATTCTTCAAGAGGAGACTGGGCGGACACCTTGCTGGGATCATTTGATCTCAGCAGTATTCCTGCCCAAAGCAGGGGGATTGGATTCAATGATCTTTTGAGGTCCCTTCCAGCCCTTAATTTCTATGATTTAAGAGTTAATTTTGTTTTAATGATCCCTTAGCACTATCTGATGGACAGTGGTGCTAACAGAGCTCCAGAAAGATCTCACCAAACCAAGGGATTGGGCAAAAAATGTCAGATGAGCTTCAGTGTTGACAAATGTAAGATAATGGATGTGGTGGAAAAATTTTAACCTCAACCATATATACACAGTGCTGGGTTCTGAACTAGCTGGTATGACTCAGAAAAGGGACCTGTGAATACCTGTAAATAGTTCTCTAAAAACATCAGCTTAATGTGCAGCAGTCACCAGAAATGCCAGTAAACTGCTGGGTATTGTTAAGGAGAGAACTGAAAACAAAATGGAGGTCATCATCGTGCCATTATGCATATCTATGTTGTGTCCGTAACTTGAATACTGGGTGTAGTTCTGGTCTTTGCATCTCAAAAAACACGTGGTAGAATCAAAAAAGATACAGAGAAGGGCAACCACGATGATCAGTAGTGAAGGTAAGTTGGAATGTAAATGTATAACATGCCTAGGTCAATCTTTACAAAATGATAGCTTGTTCAGACATCAGTTCAATAAATCAGAATTCTAAATTTTCAAGGGTTTTTTTTTAATAATTGAAAACAAAAACAAAACTACATGAACAAACTCTAAAGGAAATTTTCTAGGAACTTTTATTGTATAGTTTACCAGAAAAAAAAAAGCCAACATTTTTTGAGTAGCATGACTTGATGCCTTATCTAGTGTTCAGAATAGAGCAGGCCAAGTAAAAGCTTGGTATGACTGGGTAATTCTCTCTCTCTCTGTATATATATTAGTATATGAATCTACTCTCTCTCTCTTTAAAAATATATGTAAGCATCTCAGGACTGCTTTTGCTCACTGCTGCGTGGTTCTCTTGAGGGCCATTTAGTATATAGGAGAGAGGGTTGTTTTTTGTTTTGTTTTTGTTTTTTGGAAGGTTGTTTTTTTTCCGTTCCATTTCAGGATTACTTTTAAAGAGTAGAAGCCGCTTTTTAATAAAAACAATTTCCCTTCTCATTCTTAAGATAAGATGCTCCCTTACTTGGAAATGCTTGAGATTTTGGTGATCAAAAATGATCTTATTGATGATACGTGTTATAATCACTTGTAGAAAACCTGGTTTGAGTTCAAATCCCAGCTCAGAATTTCCCTGATTTCTGGCCTTTAATAATGAAGTCCAGTATTTGATGATAACTCAGTGCAACGTCTCCTGGTTTGAGATACAAAGATGTTGGCAAATCTTTCACTTATTATTACGCTATGTATAAAATTTAAATAAAAAGAATATCACATCTTCAAATAGTACATTGGGAAGGCAACAGATTTTGGGACAGAAGCATGCTCTGGAGTCATTGCCTACATAATTTATTATCAAAAGGAAATAGTTCTTTGCTGTGTAACTAGGCAAAAATAATTTTATTGATCTGTCTTTAAAAGTCGGTTTGTGTCACTTTTGCTTGCACTAACTAGCTCTTTATCCCTCATTGCAGAAGACTGTGATACCCCTACTCAGTGCAAATAAGCATGCCAAAAATTGGCCTAAAAGCAAGTTATCTTTTGCCAGAGGGCTAAAAGCTATGTACAACCATTCATTTTTTCCACTACTTACCTTGTCTGTTTGTACTTGAGTTTTGTTTCAAATTGAAAATAATACTTGTCATTAGTGCTTAGTAGTGGTAGAACTAAATGCCCTGGCTACAAAGATTACTGGTTTTCTGAAAATGAGTCTTTGGCATTTGCCACTCTCATGTAATCATAGTTATAACAACTGATTTATAGGTGCCCATATTTTCCTTTTTATGATTCAATTTCAAGACGGATTAATAGGATACTGTGCCTAGAATAATTTGCTGGGGAAACTACTAGAAGGCTAAATTCTAATCTCATTTATGTTGATGAGACTAACTGTAGCCTTGTACATTTTAATGTCATATACACCTGGCTACGATACAGCTTTTGTTATTATTCTAATAAAATATAAATTACTAAGGAAATTATAAAATTAAAGCTTATACAAGCTACCTGGAAACATCACATTTGAAAGAACCTCATAATGTTGTGCTTATTTCTGAAACACAAGCTTTTCTTTGAATATTAGAGGTTATTTTTCATATTTAAAATTAATAGCTGAGCTAGAAGTCAACAAGCCTGCCAACAGTGCAGATAAAATTAAGTTTTCATTTAAAAGGAAAAATATTACTTACGGACGGGTAAGGTCTGAAAGATCTCGATTTTACTATATTCTCCTTGCCCTTTTCCATTTACAGCTGCAACCTTGATTTCATATGTTGTATTTGGCTCCAGATTGCTCAGAACTACCATTGCTAAAAGGAAAGGAAAGAAAGTACTGAAACAAAAATTGACTAAATGATAGGTTAAGAAAATAACATTTCCAAGGCCATTTTCAAATATATATGCTTCACCATCAATTAGGAAGCTGATTTTAAAATGCTTTATTTTCTAAAATGGTCAATAATCATCTTGTCCACTGCTAATGGTTCCAAATAGATTTCATTTGGAGACAAATGTTACTGTGATGAAGTATATTATGCTATCTAGGGACATTAATACAGGAATTACACAAGCTATGTCCACACACAAGGATATTTTTGTCATATTTTTATAAGATGCTATGATTTTTTTTTACTGAGATTTGGTATCACTTTGGCCTTTATTCCACTGGTGAAAAATCTGCCCTAAAGCTGATTTGGAGAAACACACCATGAAATCCAGTACAAAGATATATTCAGGCAGCAGAAATCTGCTAATGTGTTTTTTTGGCACTATACTCCTGTGCTGCCTCAGTGTAGGAGGCACAAATCTACAATATGGAGCATCAGTTTCCTCGCTCTTAATTGGTAATTGGCGGTGGTAGTGGTCCTTTGGCAGCTGCTGCTGCAAATTACAGAAATTTTCAGACACATCTGTATTGATATCAGGATAGCATCAATTCCTGCCACATCCTGAACAGCACCATGCATTCCTCAGTAACTATCCATGGTCCTGGACACGGTATGTAAATCAGCCATTTAGAATGCTGGGCAAATTTTGTGACATTTTATTACACTTCTAAAAGGACGGGATTCGGTTAAAGGAAACCTTTGGAGTTCAGATATCAAGAATTTGAAAATGAATTGGCCGCACCAGTAGGTCCTTAAAAGGAGGTCTATAAGCCAGAAACTATTGGGAACATGTTAAACAATTATGAAGAGAAGCAGACTTGGACCTTATCCTGAAGGTCTTCTAACATTTTTATGCTATGTGACAAAGAGCATTGAAAAAAGTGAAAGTTGATTTTTCCAAAGTTCACATCAATATGTCATATAGTAGGTTGCAAGACTAAACCATAACCTGAGCGTTCTATGCAGATCATGCTTGGTTCTCAAACAGTAACTATGTATTAGGATAAAAACACAGAAAGCAGTAAGAAAAGTGATAATGATGTTAACTATCTAGTTGGAACAGCACTTTTACACAGACAATATAGAGAAAAAGTTGAGCAACGTACCATGTTTTCTGCATAACACCCATCCCCCAAATTACACATGCACCTTGCTTTGGAAATACAGAATAAAGAAAAAAAAGAATTTGCCTGTCATGGCCCATGCACAGCTAACTATATGGGGCAACAGTTGGCAGCAGCTGTGAGAGGGTGTAGCAGGTTGAAGGTTTTGACTTGGAGTCTGATGTCCCTTGGAAGTCAGTTCTGCTAGGCTCTCTGGCCTCTTGGTTACTGCCCTTTTTAATCTGCCTGCCAGGTCTGATGGTAGCTGTTATAATTTGGAAGGCTGCCCTCAGCTGCCAGAGGAGCACCTTGGGTGTTCTTCTCTCTGCTGTTCTCATCATCAGGGGGTGGGGTGGAGAATTCTATCTGGTCCCATCCAAAATCAGCCTAGTGGTACTGCTGGCTTTGCAGATAAATTTCTCTCTCTTCACTAGCACCAAATCTGGCTCTTTTGGCTTGTAACTTAATCCTAATTTCACAGTCCAGCACACCCTCAGTTCTGTGGTCTGAACTAGTCATGTTGCTCTGTGCAGATTGCTCCCAGACCTCTCAGCTATCTCTCCTTTTTCCATCTGCCCCAGACAGGATATCCTGGCAATCCTGGGCAGCTTGCTCTTGGGAGCTCTCAACTGCCTCACATGTATGATCTGTATGCAGCAGTTAACTTGGGTTTCAGCTACAAATGGCATACATGACAGATCCTGAACAGATTGAGAAGGGCCTTGGAAGATACAACTTTCTCATGAAATCATGGGGCCTCTGTGCAACTGACCAATGTGTTTGTCAGGAGAAGCCTACCATGGATCATCTCTTGAGATGCCCTGTAGCACGACAATGCACCCCACAAGATCTGGCAACACCAACACCAGAAGCAGTGACCTGTGCAGAATACTGGGAACAGACCATATAGAAAGGTTGGATTGAAGAAGCAATGAAGAAAAACTCAGGCTCGATCCTCTATCTGTCTCCACTGTCTGCTTGGCTCAGACTCAGGCTTCTTACTGCACATTTTACTCTGCATACTGGTACACTTTGCCTGTCCCCAACAGGCTACCTGACACACTCTCGGAATGTCTTCTGAGGGAGTTGTGCACCGCTTTGGGCATAATTATCCAATGTCTGCTGTGTCCCGGACAGAAAACACAGCACCCTCTCTAGGCACTCCTACTGTTCTCACACAGCTAATGCCCCCTGAAAATCAACTATGCTTTCACAAGGTGCCCTTTAGTGGCCTTCACATTTCTGCAATAGTGACCCCATGCCTTTCATTAAAAGCAAACAAAACCATGTGTAATCAGCTCAGCATAGTGCCCCTCTATGGCCTCCATGCTCCCCTACTAGCCACCCCAATCTTCAAAGCCAAAGCATACACAAACAAAATCCATCAGATTGATATCAACATAACCAAAGTGCCTCTGAGTACCTCTACTACAACACTTTCCCTACCAGAAGCTGTTTTCAATCAGCTCCTTGATGTACCTTATTTGTTTGTGAACACTTCAGTCTGCAGCCTACACTCCACACCTCTTTGATGCACAAGAGAATGCTGAGCATGGGCTCAAATAGAAATAGCCCTCTGTTTGTTAGAGAGGGCTAGTAAAGACACTCATTAAGAACACCTAAAATAACAACAGGGGCAGAAGTGAGAGTCAGAAGTTAATAGCAAGTGCTCCAAGGGAGCAGAGACGGGGGGAGGGAAGGGAGAGGACACATGGCAGGGCAAATCTAAGGAGCTAGTGGACACTGTCCAGTGAAACTCACCCAGAGATACGCATGGATGAGGGATAGGAAGACGGCTCTGCAGTCACCAAGGGCCCTCCCAGCCAGAGCCTCCTTCTTGCTCAGCTAGTTTAGTTACAGGCAGGAGGAAGTTGACCAGGAGGGTCCAAGGACTTGGTGGAGCGATGGATGGGGAGTGTGTAAACAAAAAGGTGCAGGGAATGGTGCAGCCAAAACCTCAGCAAGAGGTTTTTTAGAAGGTGGTAAAGGATCTTCAGCCTGGCTCATGTTAGGCATGTGCCACGGTCTACCTCTGCTCACAGAAGGGACAGGTGTTAGAAGAGTCTGTAACATGCACCAGATACATGCCCATGGCAATAGCTCCATGGAGCTATGCTCAAATCAGCCTAAGTCACCATATTCACTTATTCACTGTGCAGTACGGATGTGCACGTGTAGACATGCTTCCATACTGTGCAGTAAATGTGCACATGTAGATGCACGCAAAATCAACTTCCCTGCTTAAGGTATATACCTCAGTTTGAGAAAGTCTGCAGGTGTAGCTCATACATATAAATGAATAATATATAGAATGTTTCCAGATACTCACTGAAAGCATGAGACAGGATATTATAAAGTTTTGGCATGATCACAGTAAACATCACTGAAGTAGTATAAGCTTTTTAAGACCTGGATTCAGAAAGACCATCTGAATGTTAATTCCCTTCTTCTCCAGGGAAGGAACGTGAAGATCTCTCTACAATAAAGTTCCCTCCTACTCTTCCTTGGGTCTTGTACAAGGTACTTTATGTGTTCAGAGCCACATCAGGGAATGTACAGATAGACATAAAACTACGCTTTGCCCCATAGAATTGGGGTACTACGGTCATTTACACGGAGCAATGAGTCTGAAGTCATGCAGAATCACTGGAATCACAGTGGCAGGAGCCCAATTTTTGGTAGCGGTATTCAAGTATTGAAGTATTGAAGTATTTCAATAGTTGATTTAGGCTTAATTTTCAAGTTCTATGTTTAATGAAAGTATAATTAGTTTTGTTATTACTACTTTGTTATTTTTGACTTCATGTTTATCTTCTATTTTGGATGCATCTTGTTTTTCTGTAGTAGATGGAAGTCACATTACAAGTGGAGCTAAATGAGTTTAATGAATTTTGGAAAACAAGAACTTTCACATTTCACACTCAATTATGAGCATTTTATATGAATTAGTCATTGAAATGCAGGATCATTTCCTCATAAACAAAGCAGTAAAGTTATGCGTGTGTCAGCATTCTTTGCTTTTTTATCATTTTCATAAGGTTTTAAAAATTAAAATCTCAATTATAACCAGTAGACTATTTTCTTTAGTGATGAGATTAACAACCATATATTGAGGAGAAAGGGAAATATAATATGCAGGATGGGTAAGATGGTAAGATTAAATGGAAAAATATAAACTAGGCTTCGGTCGTGTTTCAATTGCCTATTAGCTGTGACTCCTTTACAAGTCTGAATAACTGCATTCAAAATAAACCTTAGGGTGTACTAAAATTAGTGTTACAGTAAATATTTTTAAAATTTAAACATCTCAAAGCATGGCCAGGAGTCTACTCTTACTAAAACATTAACCTCATACAATATAAGGGCTTAGTCTTGCATACACCTGAGTGACATGGAACTATTTAATAAAGAAAATTACCCATAGGCTTAGCGTTTTAAAGGATCAAAACCAACAGTGTTACAGTATATCTTGGTATCTTGAGTCTTAAAAACAGCTTTATGAAAATGAATCACAATTAAAAACTTGTGAAAAACCATTCAGCCTTAAGCACTGACATTAATGAGGAATTCTGTTCAAAAACTATATGTAGTACTCCTTGATTATTTTAGTATTTCATTGCAACAGAAAGAGTCAATGCTGTCACTACCAATAGTAGTGTGCTAGTCAGTACTATAATGTATACTAGTTATAATCTTCAGTGGAAAGCAAGTAAACAAACACTTGTGCCTTGATGATACTTTGAACAATTAGATGCAGGATTTGTGGGGAGAGGGGGAAACGGGACCTCTGCAGTACCAACTGGCTAGGTAAGGGAGCTG